GAGGAGGTCTGGGAATGGACCACCACGCCAGGTGGCCATAGGGCTGGAGAGCCACTCCAGGGGGCTTTAATGTCGCATCAGAGATGTGGCCTTAGAGCAAGACTTGAGCTGTGGACACGCAGAACCACGCATGGCTTAGGGAGAGGGGTACCCCTTCACGAAGGCAGCCCTGGTGGAAGGGCAGTTCAGCTGTCGCTGTCGTCTGGGAGCTGTGGTCGAGCGTGGGGCAGTTCTGTACATAGGGGGTCCCCAGCTGACCACCCAGATGAGGCCTTGGCAACTCATTGCAGGAGCAGAAATGATGGTTTCCAAGTGCCCTGAAAGAACAGATCCTTAATCAGAAATCTCAGTCATGGGCCGCCATGGGCCATGCTGACACTGTGGCCAGGCAGCAGCGGGGACACCGCAGTGCCGCCCCATGCCCTGGGCTGGGGTGCTGGGGTTGGCTCCAGCACAGATTGCTCTTTCCCCCCTTCCCATGCCCAGCCCCTACTGTGGCCCTTCTCATGGCAGCGGGGAGTTTAACCCTGCAGAACAAACCCTGCTGTAACCTGACCATGTAGTTTGCCCAACGCAGTCATTTCCACTCCAGTCCAGATCTTGGAGTGCAAAACCCCCACTCAAATCCTCATCTTTCTGGACTAAACTTTTCCAGGTTAGCTGAAGTTCTTGAGAAATCAACTTGGTCTCATAAAGATCTTGGTGGCATTTTTTATCAGAACAGCAGCAGCAAACTACACACACACACAGAGACGTATATACGTACATGGTTAGCGACACATTTTAGGGCTGGAGTTTGGAGAAACTGAGTAGTCTTGTAACTCTTCTGTTTACATAACAAATTCAGAATGAGGGAACCACATGGTAGGATCCAAGTAATTGTGTTTACTAAATATGCACAGCATGCAAGGCCAGGCTTAGTTATATATACACACTGCTGCTCCAATGGGATTTTGGCAGCCTCCGAAACATAAAAGGCATTGAGTGACTTGAATTGTACCCTCATCGTCAAGCAGGAGTCTCAAACACGGAAAATACACAGCAAACGAAGGCCAAGCGGAACATACGTGCATGCCGAGTTCAGGGGGCTCAGAAGCGGGGAACAGCGAAGTACGCCATAAATGAGCTTTTCCATTGCTCCCTTCCTACCTTCCAGGGTGAAAGCTGTGCAGATCCAATAGACCTTTGGAGAATTGCTCAGTTCTTTATTTTTTCCAAGATACATAGCAAAAAGGGAATTTCTGTTTACGTTCTCACAAAGCGACTGGCTAAATAATTCCAGATGATGGAATTTTCTTCTGTCCTTAAAGCGAAACAAAATCTTAACCTTCACCACTCTCTAAATGATATTAAGACTGTGATAAGAAATCTTTATTTCGGCATTCACAAAGCAGTTAATAACAGCACCATAAAGTTGGAAAAATAGCCCTAACTCTGCCCATATGTTCATGTGCTGTACAGTCTTAGATTCATATGGTCTTTCTTTGGGATGTCTTCTATTTTTCCCTGCAGTTTTTAGGTAACAGCTGTAGCAGTTTTAGGTAACAGCTGTAACAGCTTTTAACATGTTATGTCCCTATGAATGCCTGAAAACTAGTTATATGGAAAGGGCACTTAGTAGTAAGCCTATTACTAACGACATGTAATGCCCCTATCAGTGAATTCTGAAAACATGAGAAGTAGTGATTTTCATCCACCGTTAGGACAAATATTTTTATAGTCAATTTTCAGACTGAGAATATGAAGTCACCTTTGCATCTTTTCTTTACAGGATGCTGTAAAGAGGAAGCATTTTAGCTTCCTTTTTGTTAGCTTGGCAGATGAGCTGTTTACCACAGTTTTTCACATGAAAAGAAACTGAGGAAAAAACAGTTTAAATAAAAGAAAAAAAATCTATATGAAATTGTTGATTTTGATAAAAAATTGTATTTTCCAAATGAAACAAAATGTACAGCTATAATGATTAACGATTACAGATGTACTTGCTTCTAGTTTTGGACAGATAGGTAGACTGGAAGCTACATATGTCACTCCTGGTATCATGTACTGTCTAGGATTTTATAATTTCAGACAGCATTTCAAAAGGAATACAACCTTTTTCTTTTCTCTTTTCTCTTTTCCTTTTCTTTTCTTTTCTTTTCTTTTCTTTTCTTTTCTTTTCTTTTCTTTTCTTTTCTTTTCTTTTCTTTTCTTTTCTTTTCTTTTCTTTTCTTTTCTTTTCTTTTCTTTTCTTTTCTTTTCTTTTCTTTTCTTTTCTTTTCTTTTCTTTTCTTTTCTTTTCTTTTCTTTTCTTTTCTTTTCTTTTCTTTTCTTTTCTTTTCTTTTCTTTTCTTTTCTTTTCTTTTCTTTTCTTTTCTTTTCTTTTCTTCTTTTCTTTTCACTGGCACCTGCAAATAGCCCAATGTTGTCTGCAGTCCTGCTTCCAATACCTACACACTCGTTTTGCCAGTATCTCTATCAACAACTGCACACAGGTTGGGTTTTTTTCACGAAAGATGGGTCACATTTACACCCATGGTCTCTCTTTTTACTAATAAATATGTGATATCAGTACTTTTTTCTTCTTTCAAAGCTTTGTTACGAAAGCCCACTACATTTCTTTGCCAGGGAAGTATCAGGGCAATTGAAAAAGATTGTGCAAGTGTTAATACTTTTTGTATTGTGCTGTGCTTATCCTGAAGAAGGTGCAGACCTCTTCCTTTTCTCACATCTTTCCCTGCTTCTTTCCAGCTTTCTCAGAGTGTTTTCATCAGGCAGACTCTATGTCATCCAATTATTTCCTGAAGAAAACTAGAGAGATAAGCCTTTGAAAACTGAGCCAGGACTTCAGATTTCTCTCACTGTATTAAATCATACTGATCAAAAACATAGAAAGATATAGCAGCACAAAATTAACAGTGGGACAGAGACAGTGGGAAATGGAGATCCCTGGACATAATATTACATGAGATGAGACCGTCCAATATCAAGTAAATTTATTTAGACAGAGAGGTAATTACTGGGTGTGTAATACTGATTAACTATGTTGGAGAGAGACCTTGCCAAGCAGCGTGTTTTGGTCAGCTTCTTTGTAAAGAAGAATAGGAATGTAGGTAAAAGGTTAAACATTTTTTTAAAAAAGTGCATCACTCCTTCTGTTAGCTAATCTTTAGGCATCATCTGCATGAACCAGACAAATACAGTTCACTTCTGGGAAGGAGTCTGTCCCAGCTCCCATGACAGAGACATTTCTCTCTTACCCTGCTAAAATGTTTGGTGGGGTATTTATTGACATGAATGAGACTGTGCATAAATGTAGACGAGATCCTAAGTGTTTAGTGTTGTTTAAGCTCCTTATACTGCAAAAACATAGTATTTTTTAAATGCCATATCCACTGAAAAACATTTGTTCGGGGAAAATGCATCAGGTCATAGGTCAGACTCCGGGAAAAAAATATGTTGTCTATTAAATCCACAGTCACATCATTTTTCCCTTCCTACTTAGGCACACAGACAATAATTTGAAACCCAAAAAAGGCCTTTAAAAATGTCTAATATGCAGAGCGTGCCTAATTACATTTCTTCTCAGCATGAGACTTTGTATGTCACTTCAGCCCGACAAGTCCCGACTCCCAACTTGGATGAACTCTGGAAGTGTTTCTCACTGCTATGCACTCCTCTCACAAAAGTGTTTGAGCAAGCTATAAAGCAATACACAAATCATCAAGCACTCTTGTGGGGAGGCCTCGTAATTTCAGGCTGTTTGGGAGATAAGTATCAGTCAGTTTAGAGTATCGCCAGCAAACCAGAAAATAATTTTGAAAGAGGCTTGTGTAAGGCAATAAAGGCACATATCAGCTCTTTAAACAGGCAACAGGCTCCGGGGGAGCATTTCTGCATGACCAGAGAATTGGTTTATAATAAGTTTCTTCAGAAAGTCCTCACACTTTTAACTCTACTTATGACTATCCTTTGCTTTGTGAGGTTATATTTAGATGGATAATTCACAGCTCTTTCAAGCTTTAGCTATTTGTAGTAAAAGCAAAATTAAATCACACATTTGAGACTACAGACTTTGTGAGAAGGATCAAGGGGCTGTGATGAAGCAGCTGAGGGAGATGCCCTCCTTTCCCTGCCGGCACAGAGCTCCGGGCAGCATTTTGGGGATAGTCCTGTGTGCTTTTTCTGGAGGATCTCCTGGTCTTCAACATGCACCAGAAGTCTAGATGCTCAAGTGGCAATCCACGTGATTCTACCCACATGTATTTTTTCCCTAATTGCTAGCTGGAATGTACCTGGATATTATGGAATATAATGTATTTTTCAGATGCTGCTCTTTTTAATTAATGTGGAAGAGACTGTCACTGAGCAAGTGCAGCCTGACGAGTAAGCAAGTAGAGCATGCCCACCTTTGTGTGTGTGAATTTGGTACTGGGGAGGGCAGGGCAGCGGGAGACCTACGTGCAGGTCCTCCATGCAGTGCAGGTCCGTGCTTAGTGAATTTCCCAGGGGATTGCACTGCCCATGTCTGGGCTTGGACCCTCTGTGTCCCTCCATCTTGGGGGTGCCCCTTGTCCTTGCAGGACACTGACACTCAGCCCCTAGAGCCGGTGGTCAGCCTGCCTCCAGCCTTTCCATGTGCTGCCTGGGCCAGAAATTCCCACCTGTAATGCAGGACGCAGCCTAGCTTTGCCCCCCAAGTGTGGGTTTTGATATTTCGAGTGGATACACAGTCCTTTCAATTTGCAGAAATCTCTGATGTGTTGGTAATCACCAGCTTTGAGGGGAACACATTAGGGACATCACCAAGTGAAGAAGATTGGCATTGCAGCACTTGCGATGTTAAAAGTCAAAAGGTTCTCCCCAGTAAAATGATAGAGCAATGCTTAAAGTAAAATGATGCTCACTCAGAGCATGTATTTTGGCTAGGAAAAATCCTGTGTGCCCTAATATTATTTATGTCTGTTTTTCTCCAGAGCTCTTTTTGGTCAGGATTGTGATTTATGTTGTTTTTATTACAGCTACACGGGAGATTCTTTGACGAATTACAATCTCAGCAAACTCCAACTCGAGAAGAATGACAGCTAAGAGACTTAAACCAGACTTTTCACCATCCTGGAAAGGAACTGGCTGCCAGTATTTGGAGTTTTTTTAATACTCTACCTCCCTCTGCTGTTATCAGTGAGAAGTTCCTCGACAATGGGAAATCATGTGCTTGCGGCTTCGATTTCCATGCTCTCGCTCCTGGCAGTGATGGGAGATGCGGACAGTAAAACAGACAGTTCCTTCATGATCGACTCCGACCCCAGCCGCTGTATGAGGCATCACTACGTCGACTCCATCAGCCACCCCCTGTACAAGTGTAGCTCGAAGGTAAGGACTTCCTTCACCCCTTCGCAGCAGGGTGCTGCGTCACTAGAGTTGTTAAAATGAACCATTTTGTGTGATTTTTTTTTTTTTTTCTTTTTCTCTGCACAAATATTTTGCTACCAAAATCCAGCTGCAGAGAGATACAGATGTAGAGATATCTGAGTGTGTGCATCAGAATTGGGGCTGGAGAGAAAGGCTCTTGATTCTCTTTTCACCTTCTCAAAAGGAGTAACACACCATGATGATAAAGCTAACATGCAGTAAATTATAAGATTCAAAGGAGGATGTTGGGGTCTCAGCCGCCAGTGCCAGGGAGATGGGCTAGTTTGGAAGTTTAGATCATTACAGTCACCCCCTCCTTCAAGTGAGTAGTTAATCCAGAGTATGTAAACTTACGACTTTCAAGGTGGAGTACTGAGATAAAGAATCAAGCTGTAAAATGGTAATAAAAAAAGAATGTGAAAAACATTGCTATTCCCCCCCCATTTATTTTCAAGGCCTTTGTTTTCATGTAGAATGACAATCGGATGTTTACTGTAAGGCTTAGGAGCAGAAGGAAATACAAGATTTTCTTTCATTTGAGATTTCAAGCCTGAAAAAATTTGTTTCAAAATGCTTTAGCAGCCCGAGCATGTAGCCTGCAGTCATTTATTTCATTGCATGGAGAAAAAGAATGGGGAGAAACAATGGGAAAATCTTTGCTGGTCCCTTTTGTCTTGTCCTAATGTGTTTCAGCTGAGTTAACTCAGCATCTATTCAGATGTACAGTCTCCGCCTGGACCATCCCTCTGTCCCACAGAAAGTGGCTTTGCCTTCTGCACCCGCATCCCTGGATTAATGAAAGGGAACAACCACCAGCTCCAACACTTTTGCCAGCCCTGTGTTGGGTAAGAGAGCGATGGGAGGCAGGTACGTGATGGGGTTTAGGATAGGAGGGCTGCCTGCGGTGTTGCCTGATGGCAAACCCCAGCAGCGGTGATCTCAGGAAAGTTTTCAAGGACAGAAGGAGGATCCACACAGTTCAGATGGATGCAGCACTGGCTACGGAGACTCCCAGATGTCTTCACGTGCAGAACAAGTTATTTGCTTCCCATGATCAGTGCAGGGGTGAGGTAATACCATGGGTAGCAGCAGGCCATAAAATTTAAAATAAAACACAGAGAGAAGCATCAAAAGAAAATAAGACCTGCTCAGTTGTCTGCGCTCCCCCTGTGCACCAGGAGAGCTGCTGCCCTGGCTGCACACCTCCAGGGGGTCTTGCCCTGTGCCTGCTCGCCAGAGAGGGGCTGACGGCCTTGAAATTGGGCACAGGGGAAAGCCCTGCTCTGGGCTGCCTTGCATCGGTCCCACAGCAGTGCTGTCTGCCCGGCTTTGCATAACCATGCCTGATCCACAGCAATGGATCAGGACATACTGCTCCTTAGTTCAAACAGTAAAATTGCGTATTACTTGTGATTCAGAAGAGATTTTTTTGGTTTGCTTTTAGCCTAGACTAGACCTTCCTACCATCTGGGAAACATCTAGCATTAATATACAGAACTGCAGAGATGCACCTCTTCGTGCAATATTGATTTTATTGCAGTTGACTCCAGTGATAGGCAAAGGTAAAAAGTGTAGGTATGTGGGTGGTGTGTGTGGGTTTTACTTACTGGTATGCAGGTGCTAGCAGCCCTCCCCTCTCAAGGCACTTCAGATCACCTATTAGACCTGAGAAGCCATAGCTACCATGATGTTTTGGGCCAGGAGGGCGATGCTTCACCCAGCTGGCCCTCGCTCTCAGCTCCCTGCTCTGCCAGAGAGCAGGAGGAGCTGTGGTATGTAACATAGGCAAGATGGTAGGTAGTCCCCAGAGGCCCTTTGGTCTCCAGATTTGGGTAGGATCCCCCCTCTGCCCCTCTACACGTGGAAGAGCGAATGAGTAACAAGCGGCGACTTCACTGGGGTGGCGAGAAATGCAGAGTATGACTGACCCGGGCATACTGCTTCAGACATAAGAGGATAAACACAACAGGCCCCTGTTTGCCTGAGGCAAATCCATCCTGGAGCATGAAGGATGGTGCTTCTTCAGCCCGGGGCCAGAGG